GTCCAGTGTCTCAAGGGCCAGGGTAGTGAGCAAATCTATCAGTCGATTCTTCATTTAGGGGGAGGAGGAGGAGGGGGAGGAGGTTGAGTTCTGGGCGTGATTTGTTTTTTTTCCCTCTCTTTCGTTTAGTCGTTTGCTTAGGGATTCTTCGTGTGTGTGTGATTGGAAAGGGGTTACGCTAATTGTATTTTCCCGTCTTTACTATGATTATTCTTTGTCTTTGGCTTCAAGTACGTTTGGTAATATTTGAGATATAAATCTGAATTAGTATACTAATGAATAAATGAGAAAAAATGAGTTTCAAAGGCAGAATACAAAATCGTCAAGGCGGCAAGACGGCTATGAGATTATGAAGTAATGTTATAAAATGAGACAAAGCTGATCAGCCCTCCGTAAATATGCATCATCAAAAAGAAAACATCGAACAATAAACTTTTTGGGGTCACGTATTCTGGGAAATACTGACATTACTAGTACAGAAAAATTTTCCATCTTGTTAAACACACTACTAATTTTCCTATACGCTAACGAGCCAACGCCCAATGAACCGTCCTCTGAACATCTGTGTCGAGTAACCAAACCACGTCTTTGATGATCAGATCACAAAGTCAACCTTTGATTAGTGATGGTCGTCAAGATGAGACCATACGTAGCGGTGTGGGTCGTGAATAAGCGAAGACGCATTATACTTCAAACACAATGTTGGATATTCGCCAAACCATACCCCAAGGGAAAAGGCAAAAAACATCCAAAACGGGTCTCGATTGAATTGACTGAAACGACGAGGGATAAAACCTCCAAAAAGCATTTTATCCTATTATTATTATTCTTTTGTCTTAAAGGACTGAAAAATAAGAAATATGGTATGCTATAATTGAATAATGTGTGACCAAAAAGGGGAGTCAAATCAGATAAGCCTATTTTCTAAGAAGCTAGTACAGGTGGAAAAAGACGTTCGTAAATCTTCAGTAAAGACCGAAACATTGCATAGTAACAAGGTGCTTTAAACTTATTCCCCTTTAACTCCTTTCCAACATATCCAGAACCAAAAAGATTAATAAATAGAAAACAGCATGTTAAGTGAGCGTGAATGTTGCCTCAAGATTACAACACAATTCAAGAGCATAACGCGAGTAAGAACACATAAACATTGTTGTTCATTCCATTGGATTGTACAAACATCGCATCAAATAGGATAGGTTTTCATTAACGGGGGCAGGGATGCCGCCCGGTGGTGTTGCAACCACATCACGGACATGGCAGACAATGCTAATAAGAACCTCTTCATCACCCTCTGGCGCCTCAGCAGAATGGCCGCCGTCTTCGCAGATTTGCAAAAGGCCGACTTGAGAAAGGGACCGCACTGGGACCTGCTCTAGCGACCCCGCGAAGTCATTCACACACACCGTTAAAAAGCGGCACCGCCTCTCTGTCCCCTCCCGCCTCGAGATCATAAATGAACCCCCCTTCTTTATTTCCATTTCCCTTTCACCTTCCTTCATCGAGTCCTCCGCACGGAAAAGAAGCACCCTCGTGGAGGAGTAGACAGCATCGGCAATGTACCATAGCGACCACCGCGGGGCCTCGTCAGCATCAGCCTCGGCCTCGTAAGTCAGCGAAAGGCGGATAGACGCTGTAAGCGCACAACGGGTGCTTGCAGGGTCAATCTCGCAGGACAATACTCGGCGCCCCATCACGTCAGAGCCAAAGATTTTTCAGAAGAAAATCTAAGAAAAATAACACACACAACTCCCCCGAAATAACAAATGCGCAGCTCAAAACTCGAGACAGCTGCACAGGCTGGAGGGTAAAATTCCGGTCTTTCCTCTCACACAACTTTTGTATTAGTGTAACTAAAAAAAAAAGGAAACG